GTTGATGATTTAAATTAATCTTAAAATCGTGATGACTTTTATTTAGAATAAGTATTTCCTCTAAACTTCTTATATGTTGATGTAGATTATTAATTTCTTTATCTTTTCTTTTTAAAGAATGACAAATATTCATTGAAGACATTAATTGTAAATTTCAGATATTATTGTCATATTTGCAATTGTTTTTTTTTATTAAATTTTGTAAATGTCTAATATCTTTATTGAGTTCTTTTATTTGTTTTTCAAATAAATTATAAAGATTTTCTGTAGGGTCACTATATTTATGAAGATGTATTCTCATATGCCAATTTAACTAAGGCATACCAGAGATTACAATTATTTTTCAAACTTATTTTATTTATTTATATACTGTACATAGTATTGTTTGAAAAATCAGAATTAAATTGTAAAGATGGAATTTAATTAGTATGTAGTGTAATTAGCATAATAATGTATCTTTGTGTCCACTGATGTGGAGATAGTGTCATGTGATATTAATGTTAAAATTTTAATTATTGATTAATTCTGCCAAAATTATGTTTATCAGAGTTAAAGTCAAAATAGTTAGAGGTCAAAGTTTTTTTCTTTGAAGTTTTAAAAAAATGTATTCTTAAGTGAGGATTCAAAATGCAAATGCAGCAAACGCAAGATTGCAGAGGATTTTTTCAAAATGAATGACGAAATTCAGAAATAAAAATTCAAATTTTAAAAAAAAAAATAGAAAAAATTTGAAAACTGTGCTTTATTACATTTCTAACTCATTAATTTCAGTATTGTGTTCATACATCAAAGTAAACATGATTATAAGGCTAGCTATTGCATCAGCTAAATATAACTATATAAAAATAAAATTTGCTGCTCGAATCCTACATGCAGTTTTACTTTTTGCAAATTTAAATTCATACTGACAATCAAATAGGACTAGATTAATTTCATGTATAGTAAAGATAGTATAAACAACTAGGTTAAAAAATGTTACAAGTTAGATATTAATACTGTAATTAGTTACTCTAAAGTTTTAAAAACTTACTTGGTAGAACAAATCAAGCTACTGATGTAATAATTGTTAAAGCTCTAAAACAAAATGTGCTTATTAATTTTTAATATCAATTACTTCTTAAAAAAATACAAAATCAATTAAAGAATTCATTGAAAGTAGATATAGTACCTAAAGTCTTTTATATTAAAAAAACTATAACAACACATTGCAAGAAAACTAATTGCTAAAAAAATATGTCATATTTTTGAGGTATTAATAGTACTGTATTAAGTTATTTACTCAAAATTTAAATAAAATAATAAAGTTATTACCAGCTGTTAACCAAGTAAGTACTATATATCTAAAACATTTATACTTCTATTATAAAAATAAAATAACATTATATTAATTATATTATTAAAAAAAAATTTGTTACTCTAGTTCTTTGTTAAAAATTAGTTCGTTTTTACGAATATTCAACACCTTTATTATAGCTAAGTTTTCCATTAGTTTGATTAAACATAAGAACTTTTGACAGTGCTGTATTATAAAAAGAACTTAAACACGTCAAGTTTGCTTAAATTATAAAAATATAATAATAAGATCTATATTACCAAGAGCTGGGCAAAGGAATGTAAGAATAAAAAGTTGTAAGATTAATAGTGCCAAACAATATGTTCTTATTTTTTCTGTTAGCATTTCACTTTTGAAATCAATTTGATCATAATTTTAAATGTCTTTGATTTATATGAGTGTAAAAATACACAAGTCCTTCTTTCAACAATACAAAATAAAAGTTTAAAAGTTTTCAAACAAAAATATATACAAAAACAATGAAAATCACAAGCATAGAAGTAGAAATAGCAACCTTTTTGATTATACGTATGACTATATAGTGTAATAAATGCTATACTAATAAATTTGTTAGAATCAAGAAAATATTAGTATACAAAGTTTATCGATAGCTAATGATCATATGATTTTGCATAATCATGTGAAAAGTTAATAATAATACATATTTATATTTAATATTTGCACTAACTCCAAATGTAATAAGAAGCTTTTTGAGATTTATTTCATAATGAGTAAATGAATTATTTCTTTTTGACTTTAAAACTAAAGTTTTAATTAAATTATTAATAAACAATCAAATCAATCTATTTGTATTGTAATTGAAATAATTTATATTTAAATAGCAAATTTTGTACAACTTGCATAATTAAGTACCATATTAAAATTGAATGAATCTATTTAAATTTTATCAGCATTGTAAAGTTTGTAATTAAGAGCTCACTATTTGTGAAGTAAACTTTTATGTTCATTAATTGATGGTATTTCTATCATATTAAAATATATCGAAATGAAATTAACCAATGAGTACATCTTGAAAAAATGATAAAATATTTTAAACAAAGAACCAAATTCTTAAAATACTATTGCAAGTATGTTTAAAATGTTCTATTGTTGATAAATTTATAAAGTTTTAATACAAATTAATTTGTAGTTAGCATTTAAACAATGGTGGATTAAGAAACATTTAACAAATTCGTCACTCAATTCAAAAATAAAAATAAATAACCAAATTTCAAACAAATTTCATCTAAAATTTTTTATTTTGTAAATTATTAAATAGATATATTTTATTATTTGAACTCAGCTTATTTTCTGACAGCCTCTAGTTAATTTCGAACAAACTAAATTTTATATTATTTGACACATATTTTACAATTTGATATTAAAAATTGATGATAGATCCTACCAATATGAATAAGTTTGTCAAAATAATAATCACTTTATTAAATATATGCTTTTGTAATGATGCATAATATGTACAAAAAATTTAACTGTAAATTGAAAATAATAATTAAGAAAGTATCAGTAATCTTATAACAATTATAAATATTATTTACTAAAATTAAAGGCATTCAATAATTGCATAATAAATTTGAGGTCAAAATTGAATGTCGAAGAAAAATTTGACCTATATTGTAACAAATAAAATTGTTTTAAGTATTAATCAAAACTTTGAAAATAATTAATTATAATTAAATATCTAGTAGAATATTACTTCATCAGCATTAAAAAAATTAACATAATGAAAAAAATTAAGATTACTTTTATAAATCTTTGAGCTTCAAACTTCCTACTTAATTCTTTAATTTTTTCTACTAATATTCCAATTTCATCTTTAACAGAATGCTTTGATTTCTTAACTAGAAAGTATACTAAGATGTCATTACTCATTTCTTTAATATTCATGAGCAAAATATTTTATTTTAATTTGTTTACAAAATTTAAAGTGTTAATTGAGTAGTTGCTTCATGCTAGTGTTACCAAAATTCCTATACTATTTGGTAAATAATCGGAAAATATGCTTTTAAGTTGTTTAATATCACCAACTGTAACTTTCTTTTCAGGTTTATAGTTGCCATATTTAACCAGAATTAAATGTTTTTCATAATTTTCAAATAATTCAAATAATTCCATATTACAATTTTCATCATAATCAGATATACTATAAGAAGAAAAAAAAAAATTTGTAAGTAAATTTTATCATTATCATCAAGGTAATCAAACAATGCATCCTATTCACTACAAACTTCTGCATGAAGCTAGATTGAGTCTTTCGGATTAAACATCAGAGAAGGACGTTCACAGGCATGCCTGTGGCCATGATGTGCTTTCAGTTCTCTGATGTCAACTCTAGTTGCAGCGTAACTTCAGATACATAACAACTAGAAATTTACTTACTTCACTTTATGAAGTTTAATATGAATGAACTTAGTTCAGTACGAACCTGTTTCACAAATTTGGTAAGTTTTATGAGCATTATAACAGTTAATAAAATACTATAAGAAAATAAAAAAAATGCCTATATATATAATGTAAATTCTATAGAGATTTGAATTCTGTGATTTTTTTCTCACATTTTCAGAAGTGAAAAATTTTTTTCTTTATAAATTATCGTAGCATATATAAAAAAAGGTACAAAAAACAATTCCTAAAATATATGCCATTTAGTATTGAGACTGTGCAGGAAATGTGTTCTTGTAAAAGAAGGCAATATTAAAAGTATAAGTGTGTTGTTTTTCTCT